TTTTTTTGGAATCAGGGGGTCATGAAACGTAAAGATTTATCAAAATTAGAAATTTCTCAAAATCGCACAAATCCAATACTTTCTCATTTTTGATGAGAATGTAAAAAACAAATATTACGAAAAAATTCAAAAACAGCAAAATTTTCGGATATTTTGAGTTCTTTTTTGTTCCTAATTTTGTATATTTACCTAAATTTGGCATCTAAAAGAAAAAAGTGAAAGTTTTGACATGTTTTTAATGTTTTTTAATGTTTCGGCTAATGCTTCACTCACTATAAATCTCAATTTTTTGCACTTTTTTGGAAAAAAAAATTCATAACTTTTTTGTTTTTTGTTGTACAAAAAAGTGTTCAAAGGAAAAGTTGTTTGTTTTTGTACAAAATTTAAGGAAAAAAATTAAAAAAATTTTTTTTTTTAAAAATTGTCAAAAATCCAAAATTTTGAAAATTTCAAAATTTTAAAAAAATTCATAACTTTTTTGTTTTTTGTTGTAAAAAAAAGTGTTTAAAGGAAAAGTTGTTTGTTTTTGTACAAAATTTAAGGAAAAAATTAGAAAAAAATATTTTTTTGAAAATTGGAAAAAATACAAAATTTTGAAAATTTAAAAGTTTTGTATTTTTGTGGTTTTTTGACGAAATGAGCTGTCCAACGAACTCAGGCTTTATTTTAATGGACTAAAAAAGCACCCCAAATTGCAAGACGATTCGTTAAAATTTATTCGAGTTATCGTCGAGACAAAATTTTCTACAGACAGACAGACAGACAGACAGACAGACAGACACTTCTCTAAAAACCATTTTTTTGGAATCAGGGGGTCATGAAACGTAAAGATTTATCAAAATTAGAAATTTCTCAAAATCGCACAAATCCAATACTTTCTCATTTTTGATGAGAATGTAAAAAACAAATATTACGAAAAAATTCAAAAACAGCAAAATTTTCGGATATTTTGAGTTCTTTTTTGTTCCTAATTTTGTATATTTACCTAAATTTGGCATCTAAAAGAAAAAAGTGAAAGTTTTGACATGTTTTTAATGTTTTTTAATGTTTCGGCTAATGCTTCACTCACTATAAATCTCAATTTTTTGCACTTTTTTGGAAAAAAAAATTCATAACTTTTTTGTTTTTTGTTGTACAAAAAAGTGTTCAAAGGAAAAGTTGTTTGTTTTTGTACAAAATTTAAGGAAAAAAATTAAAAAAATTTTTTTTTTTAAAAATTGTCAAAAATCCAAAATTTTGAAAATTTCAAAATTTTAAAAAAATTCATAACTTTTTTGTTTTTTGTTGTAAAAAAAAGTGTTTAAAGGAAAAGTTGTTTGTTTTTGTACAAAATTTAAGGAAAAAATTAGAAAAAAATATTTTTTTGAAAATTGGAAAAAATACAAAATTTTGAAAATTTAAAAGTTTTGTATTTTTGTGGTTTTTTGACGAAATGAGCTGTCCAACGAACTCAGGCTTTATTTTAATGGACTAAAAAAGCACCCCAAATTGCAAGACGATTCGTTAAAATTTATTCGAGTTATCGTCGAGACAAAATTTTCTACAGACAGACAGACAGACAGACAGACACTTCTCTAAAAACCATTTTTTTGGAATCAGGGGGTCATGAAACGTAAAGATTTATCAAAATTAGAAATTTCTCAAAATCGCACAAATCCAATACTTTCTCATTTTTGATGAGAATGTAAAAAACAAATATTACGAAAAAATTCAAAAACAGCAAAATTTTCGGATATTTTGAGTTCTTTTTTGTTCCTAATTTTGTATATTTACCTAAATTTGGCATCTAAAAGAAAAAAGTGAAAGTTTTGACATGTTTTTAATGTTTTTTAATGTTTCGGCTAATGCTTCACTCACTATAAATCTCAATTTTTTGCACTTTTTTGGAAAAAAAAAATTCATAACTTTTTGTTTTTTGTTGTACAAAAAAGTGTTCAAAGGAAAAGTTGTTTGTTTTTGTACAAAATTTAAGGAAAAAAATTAAAAAAATTTTTTTTTTTAAAAATTGTCAAAAATCCAAAATTTTGAAAATTTCAAAATTTTAAAAAAATTCATAACTTTTTTGTTTTTTGTTGTAAAAAAAAGTGTTTAAAGGAAAAGTTGTTTGTTTTTGTACAAAATTTAAGGAAAAAATTAGAAAAAAATATTTTTTTGAAAATTGGAAAAAATACAAAATTTTGAAAATTTAAAAGTTTTGTATTTTTGTGGTTTTTTGACGAAATGAGCTGTCCAACGAACTCAGGCTTTATTTTAATGGACTAAAAAAGCACCCCAAATTGCAAGACGATTCGTTAAAATTTATTCGAGTTATCGTCGAGACAAAATTTTCTACAGACAGACAGACAGACAGACAGACAGACAGACAGACAGACAGACAGACACTTCTCTAAAAACCATTTTTTTGGAATCAGGGGGTCATGAAACGTAAAGATTTATCAAAATTAGAAATTTCTCAAAATCGCACAAATCCAATACTTTCTCATTTTTGATGAGAATGTAAAAAACAAATATTACGAAAAAATTCAAAAACAGCAAAATTTTCGGATATTTTGAGTTCTTTTTTGTTCCTAATTTTGTATATTTACCTAAATTTGGCATCTAAAAGAAAAAAGTGAAAGTTTTGACATGTTTTTAATGTTTTTTAATGTTTCGGCTAATGCTTCACTCACTATAAATCTCAATTTTTTGCACTTTTTTGGAAAAAAAAAATTCATAACTTTTTTGTTTTTTGTTGTACAAAAAAGTGTTCAAAGGAAAAGTTGTTTGTTTTTGTACAAAATTTAAGGAAAAAAATTAAAAAATTTTTTTTTTTTAAAAATTGTCAAAAATCCAAAATTTTGAAAATTTCAAAATTTTAAAAAAATTCATAACTTTTTTGTTTTTTGTTGTACAAAAAAGTGTTTAAAGGAAAAGTTGTTTGTTTTTGTACAAAATTTAAGGAAAAAATTAGAAAAAATATTTTTTTGAAAATTGGAAAAAATACAAAATTTTGAAAATTTAAAAGTTTTGTATTTTTGTGGTTTTTTGACGAAATGAGCTGTCCAACGAACTCAGGCTTTATTTTAATGGACTAAAAAAGCACCCCAAATTGCAAGACGATTCGTTAAAATTTATTCGAGTTATCGTCGAGACAAAATTTTCTACAGACAGACAGACAGACAGACAGACAGACAGACAGACACTTCTCTAAAAACCATTTTTTTGGAATCAGGGGGTCATGAAACGTAAAGATTTATCAAAATTAGAAATTTCTCAAAATCGCACAAATCCAATACTTTCTCATTTTTGATGAGAATGTAAAAATTATTAAAATTCGTCGAAATAATTCAATTAAGTATTTAAAAATTTGATGATAAAATTTTCTTTATAAGAATTTAATTTTCAGTAATATTCAATTATTGTATAATAATAATTTTTGTATTAAATTGAATTCTCGAAGACTTTTCTATTAAAAATTGACTTAAAAATTAATTTTAGTTAAAATTTTAGATAACAATTGAATATTAAAAAAAATATAGGATGAGTTTTTAGAAATATTTAAATTTCATAAGATTTTTAAATTGAAATCTTAAAAAATTTGAATTTTTCATACTTTTAATCAACAATTTTGTAAAACTAATTTTTTTGATAAATTTTAATTCATTTTTTAAAAAAATTATTTGTAGTTTTTATTTTCTAATATATTCTATTTATTAATAATCGAAATTTCGTAAAATTGAATTGTAAACAATTGGATTTGAAAATTCTCAAGTAACTTTTTGACAACAGTGTTTAAAAATAATGAATTTTAGTTGAAAATTCTAGAAAATAATTAAATTGAAATGATACACACTTTCTACTTCCTCGATCTCCACCTCTGCCTCCTCGGAAGCCTCCACCTCCTCTGCCTCCACGAAAACCTCCACCGCCACCACCTCCTCGACCAAATCCTCCTCCACCACGTCCACGGAAAGACATTTTTTTAAATCTGAAAATTTTTACATTTTTGTCTTAATTTAATAATTTATTTCTTGCAATAAAAATATCCTTAAAAATAAACTGATTATAACATTAGGGTGAATTTATTTCACTTGTAAATTATTTCTTAATTAAGAATAAATTTTAACTATTATTATTATTTTAATAACAAAAAAGGGAAATTAATTGTTAACCGGTTATTGTTTACGCCAAATATGATTGTTATTTTAGTTTCAGTTTTCTATTTAATGAAAAGAACAGTAAACAATAATTTATTAGTTTCATATTATTTATGTATTTTTCTATATAGAAAATAAATAAATTAAAATTAGCGAATATATTATAATTTAATAATTATAAAAATGGATAAATAATAAAAATTTCAATACACAGTTTCTTTAGGTTAGGTGATTATTTTCTAAGTTTTACATTGCAATATATTTTGAAATAAGAGATATTATCATTTAGATAGAAAATAATAAGGAAAAGTAATTATTTTTTACTTACAGCAACAGAAAATTGAATGAAAAACTACAATGAAAATCTGTTTTGTCAACCACGTGCCTAACCTAAAATCTTTTATTTTCGCTGCTCGTACAAAACAGACGTGAAGGAAACTTACGACTGGGGGGTGATTTTATTTTGTAAATAACAATTGTTTTAGAGAATGACCACTTTCCAGCGGCGCTGCGTTCGAAAAGTATTTCGTTCTTCGAGATATCGAACAATCGATAGTAGCTATGTTCAGGGCGGGAAGACGCACGCCAGGAAAAGTGACGGTCAGGGATGGGTACGTATTATACATGATGTATTATACCTGGTTTTCTACACGTATAATACGTGGTATTATACATCTTTAGTTTTCTACGTATGTCATGTATTTTACATACATTGCGTGACGCGCGGGATTTTTAAATTTTAGACAAGAAACATGTGATTTTAATAGTATATTAAATAAATTTTAAACATAATTTCAATTTAAAAATTTATTAATTAACATTGAAAAGTTTTTTTAAAATTTATGTTTTAAAGAAATAGCACACAAACAAAGTTCTAACTGTTCGTGGTCAGGTCAGGTTGTCTGCTGCCGCCAGACCCATTTATAGGTTATACATCTCCATGTGCCAGGCCATGTGTCAGTGATTGTTGTACAATATTGCTTTTTTTAAAATAAAAAAAAATTAACAAAAGAGGTGGAAGGCCGAAACACAATTCCTGGGAGGAATTGTGTTTTATTCCCAAAAATAATAAACGGAAAAATGTTGCCCTGCCTGTGTCCTATTTGCAACAAAACATTGCAAAATACAGCTATAATAATAATTTAGTACTTTTGTATGAAAAAGTTTATTTGAAACCCGTTTATTTTCAAATAAATAATAAATTAACGTGTCTTTTTAAAATTGTTCTATATAAATATATAATACAAGTTATGAAAAAATGTGTGTAAAAAACCATATGAAAAATCAATAAATATATATTATACGCATTTTTTTGTAAACTTACCTTATATGTAACCTTTTTTGGTTTTTTCTTGGTATTTTTAGCAACAATTTAGTAATGAAAACCAGGAAACAAATAAAAAATAATCAAACATATGATTTTTATTATTATTGTGAGGTTTGTACGCATGCGCAGAACTGGACATGTATAATACCAGGTTTTCTACAATTTTCTACGTATTATACGTCATTTATGTATTATACGTAGAAAACTCCGAAAAAAACACTTTTACCCATCCCTGGTGACGGTTAATGTTTACCATGTTTACAGAACAAAGACGACAAAGACGTCCCGATAATGAATTTAATCAGACTGGACGATTTTAATTAATTATACTACAGTCTTTGGAAATAATTCGTTTTTAAGGTAAGATCATTATTTTATGCTGTTTACTCGTATTTAGTATAGCGAATTGCGTCGTCAATATGAACAAAAGTTAGGTTATGTTTAGTAATGAATTTTACAATTGCCGGTATTTCTCAGACTTCTCAGGTAATTGTCATTTTTATTCTTTTATAATAATAATATAGTTTAATTCATCAAGATTCAATTATAGTTAAATAAAAGTTTTTGTATAATTGGCCTAATTATGTAACAAATTATATTCCGTCGATTAAATTATCAGTAGAATAATTAAAAGGTACAAACTCAAACAGATTTTAATTCGTTCTGTTTTAAACATACTTTAAATGTTTATAAATTACATTTGAATAAAATGTAATTTAAATTTAAATGCAACTTTTGATGATTGAAAATGGTTCTTATTTTCACTTAGTATGACAAACTTTCAATCTGAAAATTTTATATTGATAGTCGGTTGAAATGACTAAATTTTCAATCGTTTTTCACTAATTAACTGACGGAAAATGATTTATTTCTGAATATTGAATATTATTTTTTAACTGGTAATGCAGTGAAAAATGACTAAAAATATGGTCAATTTTTTTTTAATGAATAATTTTTCTTAAATACCTATTTCAAAATTAATTGAATTTTAAAAGAATTGCGTTTGCAATTTTCATAAATAGATGAACTTCAAAAGGTTTCAATTTGAAATATGAGACAATTTCAACTTTGAATGAATTTGATTAGAAATTTTAAAGAAGTTAGTTTATTGAAAAAATTTAATAATTTAAATTCTTCTGAAATTAGTTAAATTTTTTAATTCATAATTAATTAATTATTAAAATTAATGGATTTATAGAAGAATTTTTAGATAAAACACTTAAAAATTGGAATTTTGGAGAAGTTACAAATTATTGCAGAAATTCAATTATTTTCAAAAGCAATAAAATTCTTCCCAGAAATTCAATTAAGTTCAAAATTTTTTTTAAATTCTCGTCAAAATTTTAATTATCTTTATAAATAATAAAATTTTTCTCCAAAATTCAATTATTTAAAAAAATTTTAATAAAATTCTTGTCAAAATTGAAAGAAAATAAATAATAAATAGATAATAAAGATAATAAATAATTTTTTAAAAATTTTTCTCAACTTCATGATTTTTAATACCTACTATTTAAATAAAATATTCTAAAAGAATTTGATTATTTACAAATTTTTTATAAATTTCTTCGCAATAATTTAATTATTTTCATAAATAATAAATTTCTTCGCAATAATTTAATTATTTTCATAAATAATAAATTTTTTTTACAGGAATTCAAATATTTTCATAAAATTCTTCTTAGGAATTCAATTACTTTTTATATACAATTTTTATTGAATTCCTGAAAACTTATTTTCAAAGATTTTAATAACAAAAATTCAATTATTCTCAATACAATTCTAATTAAATTTCTCAAAATAATAATTCAATTCTTTTTAAAGATTTTAAAAACATTCTTCGTAGAAATTGAATTATTATTTTAAAAAATTTTAATAAAATTCTTTATAAGATTTCAATTAATTTTAACATAATTTTAATTAAATTCCTCGAAAAAATTCAATTTCCTTCATAATAAAATGTTTGTTGAATTCTTAAAAATGTAATTTTCAAAAATTCTAATATTAATGTTCTTAGCCAGAATTAAAATATTTTCATAAATAACAAAATTTATCACAGAATTTTTGAATAATTTGCCAAAATTCTTTATAATGATTAAATTTTATTTTTCAATACATTTTTTAATTCAAACTTTTTTATTATAAATATTTTTATTGAATTCAAGAAAAATTTTTTTCGTCAATTTGAATAAAACTCTTAGTAAAAATTCAATTATTTTTATAAAAAATGAAATTTATCTGAAGAATTGCATTAATTCCAGTACAATTCTAATTAAATTTCTGGAAAAACTTAATTATTTTTAAAAACTTTAATAGAATTCTTCGCAGATATTCAATTATTTTCCAAAGTATAATAAAGTTCTTCGCAAAAATTCAATTATGTTCAAAAATTTTAAAAAATTCTTAAAATTTCAATTATTTACACATTTTTTTTATAAACTTTGCAAAATAATTCCTTTTTTTCATAAATACATAATAAAATTCTTTGTAAGAATTTAATTATTTTCATAAATAATTAAATTTATCACAGAATTTCAATTATATATTTAACACAATTTTAATTGAATTCCTCAAAAAATGTAATTATTCTTAAAAATTTTGTTAAAATTTGTCAAAAGAATTTAATTATTTAAAAATTTATTTATAAAACTCTTTATAAAAATTCAATTTTGAGAAACATTCAATTATTCAATAAATTATTTATTTTTGTATGTAAATAATTGCCTCGTAAAATTTTGATTTGAAATTAATTTGAAAATAAATTTTAGATAATTATGGAATATTAAAAAAATTGTAGCGTTAATTTTTAGAAATTATAATTCAATTTTGAAAAGGTTTCAAATTAAAATCTTTTAAAATCTGAATTTTTCATACTCCTGTAGAATTAATTTTTTTGCAAACGTTTATAATTGAGTTTTTTTTTAAATTATTGTTCAGATCCTTCCTGAAATTGATTTTTAAAATTCAATAATATTATTCATTGTATGCGAATCCAGCTCATTATTTAAATGTTTTTTAGAGCAGCCTCGACAAATTTCTTGAAAATTGCTAATACTATACATTATATTATTATTCGTTTAAAGTTTCAGGAAATTAACTATTTGAGCAAAATCAATTGTTTATTTATAAGATGCAATAATTTGCCATTTTAAATCATTTAATTTCATCTTCTAAGCTGAAAATAAGCTTATTTTATTTAACTAACTTATTTGTTAATTAACAAAATATTCTAAACATGTTTTTTACTTTTTTGAAGAGTTTTATTTCCTGAGTCGAATACAAAAAACAAAACTCGTTTATCTTTAATCGTTTAAAAGATATGCGCAATTAAACAATTTTCAGCAATTGTTGTATCTTATAAATAAACAATTATTTTGACTCAAAAAGAGTTAATTTTCAGAAACTTTATACGAATAAATGTTATGTTACGAAGTTTCAAGTAAGTAATTCGGTATAAGGCCGCTCCAAAAACATTTAATAATTAGCCGGAATCTCACAAATTATTAATTATCATTACATAAATGGATAATTTTATTATTCTAATGAATTATTCATATAAATTATTTCTGAGTGTTCTTTAGTTATTTTCGTTTATTAAACAAATAGTCAAGATTTACTAATAATTATTATTTGTTACTATAATTATAATTAGTGTTTGCTTGCTTTAATAATTATCAAAGCAAGAAGTGAGTGAGATTTTACTTGAAAATTTATTATTTTTAATGAATGGAAAATAGTAGCGTACGGATTGGTTGTTGGGGAAAAGTTGAGGGAACTCATTCGACAGGTGGATTGGATACACCTGTAGTCTGAGGCAGGTATGTAATTGTATAGAGTAGACGAATGATCAATAGAAGGTGTGGCTTTAGTTGGTTTCATATTATCCTGACTCCACCCACGCTTTAACGGTGTTTTTTTTACCTTCAGAGAAAGGAAAAATGATTCCGATTACGTTATCGCATCTTAATAGTGATAAAACCAACAGGCGGTCCTTATCAGCGAATAACCTTATCAAAATTATACTTCTGTATTTTATTACTAAAAAAAATTATTTTATCAACTTCTATAATAAAGTAGTTGTACCATTTAGAAATTATAATCATTTCTTGAAAACTATTTCTATATTTTTATTCGAAATCAATAATGAAATAAATGTAAAAATAATATTTAATAAACAATAAGTAATAGTTTTATAATTCGTAATTCGTAATCAACTAATCAGCGACTTTGAATAATTTATTGAGCAATGATTTTTAGGAATTAGAAAGATTTCACCTGGTTTGAATTTATAAAAATTAACATATAGTGGATTCGCAATGAACGATTCCAAAAGTCCCTAAATAACGATTTTTATCAGTTCCACTTAACTTTTTAAACGCAGTAGAAGGAAAATCTTATTTTAAAGCAGAAAGGAAGTTTTAAATTAAGATGCAACATTTTAAGACGCATTGCTGCTAGTTTACACACTAAAAAAAAAGTTTTACTTTCAGCCTGTTTTCGAGGCTGAATTTAAGGTGTAAACGGAGTCAGCCCCATTAAACAAGGACAGACTTATGTGAAATACATGGGCTGAATTTAAGGTGTAAACGGAGTCAGACTTTTTTTTTCCTGTGTACAGAATGGATTTTAAAAAATATTCTATTGTACATGATAAGCAGTAGCTGCTTATTTGTGCTGAATTTAAGACTGATCGTAAATTAAGATTTTATTCTTACAATCAATTTTCGTCCTCCATATTGATCCACCATTTTGAATTTTTAAAAACTCGTATTCGTAATCGACACTTCAGATAGAAGCATATTAATTATGGTAAAATTTCTAAGTTCTTTTTATAAGATTTTAATTTTAGTTCTAGTTGTCTTTATAAATTTTATATTGCCGGAGCTTAATGTTTAATACGCGCAGATATTATTTAGATAATTAAAACTTTATTGTTTACTTAATGTTAAAAGTATGATTGAAATGAATTTTTAAAGTTGTAAATTTATAATATGTATCTGTGAAAGTTTACTTGGCATGTTACTCACATTCTCCAAGAATTTAACTTTAGAGGCTCTTGGGTCTTAATTGCTTTAGTGTTGATAAGCGCGTTACGCCGTCAGTAAAATGGGGCGAGGGGTAAAGGGGAAGGAATAAGTGGCTGAAGCGGTAAGAGAGTATAAAGGTCGATACTCACGAAAAAAAACCGTGAGAGACCATTCTTTCACATTTCAGATCTCTTTAATTTATACCAACAAATTGTGCGCCTTCTCTATACACTCAGGGGAAATTTATAGTTTAATCGAATACCCTATTTTTTATTTAGTATGCAAACCTAATTTTTAGATTATTGTATAAACAAAACTGCACTGTAAACTATA